ATGATTTTCGTTTCACAAAATTTGGTCTAGGTGTATCCACGTATTCATTATTTCTAGATGGCACTTTAAATGATGGAGTGGAAGAATTATCCGTAAGAGTATTTAAAGGGAGAGAAGAACCAGTAAAAGTACATTCCATTTCAAACGAGTTATCTCCCCCTTCAGTATTGTTCATTTCTGCTACAAAATGATTTGCTTTCTTTCTTGACTCTTCCATAGATTGCACAGTAAAACGTGGTTTAGAAGGTAAACAAAATTGTATGGGGATGTCTGATGCTTCATTAAAAGTTGAAGGTTTAGCCACAGCATGTTTGAAATTACGAATATTTGAAAATGATTTATTTTTCAAGGCACCAAAAGACTGAATAGCCAATTCAGCATCATCATGTACAGTGCCGTATGAGGTTCTGCCCTCTTGCATATTAGTTTCATCTTTAAAAGGTTCTTCGTTATTTTCAATTATGTTTTCTTCGACAAGTCTGGTTTCATTATTAGATTTTTCACAAAAAATGTTCTTGGATAAAACATTTTTCTGAAAGTATAAAAATCATCGTAAGATGAGTCTTAAAAATAATCATTGTAGATAAAAAAAAATTTACACCCAGTAAAGCTCTTTACTAATTTCTGAAAAAAAATGCACATAAAATTACTTTCATTTTGTTTTTCAGATCCCAAATAGACTTATTCACACCTCGTTTGGACTTACACCATCTTTTGAAAAGACGACAAAGTCATTTGAAGGAAAAGCTAATGTGAAGTCACTGAACACCTGATCAACAGTGAGAAAAGGAGCTTTAAACTGGCCTTTCTCAGAAATATGATGGCAAACTTCATCTGAAAGTATCACAAATAGCTTAATCAATTCTGATGATGATTTTACGCAGTGACACAGCTTTACCATTTATATGTGTGTGTTATGAGCCATGTTCTGGATTCAATATGTCTGATGCGTGAATAAGAACTATTCAATCAGTGACGATCTACCCTCCATATAACATTCGTACTGAGGAACTGGATAGAGTTTATCGGCCAACACATAGGATACTTAATATGTCAGATTTGTAAGGTTAAATGAAAACTCTGCAATAGAAAATCACCATAACAGTACCTTTGTCTTCTGAGGTTTGATCATTTTAGAGTTCTGGAACATTTTGTCCGCCATTTTATCAAGAAAACCTGATCTAACTGCTTCAACTGATGTAATATTAGATGAAGATTCATTACTTCTATTAAACTCACATCCCCAAACTTCTGTCTGAACATTTTCATTCTAAAAAAAAGTAAACCTTTTGATCTTTGATTCTAAAAAAAAAGTACAGAGTGGCCCAATGTTACCATGTATATTTTTTATGGTTTGTTTATTGAAATGGCTGCTTGTGAATTCAGGTGTGCAATCTGAATCTAAAATATTTAGGCCAATAGCTACAGGGGGCCCCATGAAAAAATTCTGACAACCGACCAATTCCATTACTGCTACTAAACACCATTTGGTCAATATTGAACTTGACCAAGTTTTTGTAAACGGACGGAGAAGATGACAAACCTTGCTATTGTTTCCTTCGTTAATTGATGCATTTCCCAATTTTTTCAGTTTAGAATATTTTGAATATAATTCTGAAAGACAAATATTAGTTAAATAGATTGAAGAATTAAAGATTTTAAAAAACATTCTTATAGCACATCACATACAGCTTCTGTTTCTATCAATAGTCAACTCTCTTTTTAATAGTTTATATAGATTATTATAGAGAGAATCGACTATTGATAGAAACAGAAGCCTGTGCATACAGCTCCAAGTCGTATCTAAGTCTATGGAATCATCCTATGGAGGGAAATCTGGTTTCAATATCTAATATATTGCTGATCACTTCTTGGATTTTTAGAACAAGAAAATACCGAGTTTGAAGAGAATCCCCTCTTTGTTTAATTTTCATATGCAAATGATTTCAGGCTTCAATGTCATGGCTTGTTGCTGTAAAATTCATAACAAATACACACCTGGAAAGATCTTACCTACCTTTAATTTCATTTGATGCACTTTGAATATCATTCTAAAATATAAATAGAAAGCCATGATGATAATCATTCTTCCATTTCTTGTTGTAACTAAAATTTCATTCCCCCAATACTGTAAGTGCTACTCATAATCCATTGAAATCCAAAATTATTCAAAAATTATTTTGATTTTCTGCAGTTTTGAGCTTTTTCCATTTTCCATCAGAATTTAATTTTTACTTAGTCACTTCTGTTAGGGTCCTAGTGCTGGAAAAGGTAGAAATTTGATTGGCTGGCAGTGACACCAAACAGATGAATGTTCAAGTGAAGCATCTATAGACCCTAATTAGAGTGGCTTCAAAAAATATAAAAGCTAACAGTACAATTTCCCTTAAAATAAACTCACCTTAGTGCAATGTTCATTACAATCATGGTGACATTAGGCCATAAATTGGATAAAATAAGCTATTATGAAAATTTCTAAACAATTAGCCCAGATTTCACATTATCTTATAAAGTAATACGCAAATTCAATTGTTAACATTTTGAAGGAAAAAAAATTACACTATACCTTGTCTGGTTTCCTGTTATTTTCTTTGAAAAATTCAGTTTCCCAAGATTTCAAATCTTTCTTTATTTGGATAAAATCTGCCATTACATAAAACTAGCATGACGATTCTGTCAGACACATATTAGAACATGGACATAATCTGAAAAAAACAAAACCAAATTAATAAAGTTGATGGTCTCATACCTTTCATTTTGATTTAACAAAGGATGTACAAAAAGATGGCCCCTAACCCTTAGTCCAAGTGAATCTTCTCATCTACACAAAAAGTGCCTTGTATCTTGATAAATCTGTTTATGGAGCATAGTAAGTTAAAGCATTGGAAACTTGACATGACATCATTTGCTTGATTAAAGGACTGGTGCACAATTTTTTTTTACCAATCGTACTTTAGTCTGAAAAACAAGAATTTTTCAGCTGAGACAATCAGTATTAGTGTTCATAGCTCACCATCGAAATTTGAGCCTTCAAATCCATGTGTGTCTAGAAATATCTGTGCTTGAATGTTAAAATGTCCTCCAGTTCCTTTTTCCTTTTTTTAAGCTTACTTTAAATTATCAATTTTGAGGCACTGCATATGCAAGAAATGAATTTTTGTAAACACAGTAACACTATGTTCTCTTCACTTTAGTATTTCTCAGTAGACTATGAAGACTATGGCAAGAGAGAAAGAGATTGCTGACTCTACTTTCTATTCCAACAGTAGCAGTGTTGACTCTAGAAACTTACTCTCTTCTTACTACTTAGTGAGTAGAGAAATATTCAAACATTCAAAAAAAAAAGTTCAATGACATGTCATTTGAGACATCTGTTTAGAATGTCTTTGATTTCATTATAATAAATGGTTTATTAATTTTACTTTTGGAATAAAAGCACTTTTTCAGAACTTTCTTATGAAATTTCCTTCTTTATTTCAAAAATAATCTCAAATTCCTGGGTCCAAAAAGTTCAAGCCTTACCTAACCCATTATTTACAGCTGGAATTATATAATTGAACTCGAAGATAACTTATTCAACTTGTCATCAGACTTTCGCATGCCAACCCAGATTAAAATCCAAGATATCAGAGACAATTCGACTGAAAGAAAAACAAAAACAATACCTTTTTGATTTCATGCTTGTCATATCATAAAATCATGATGACTTTTGGTCTTCTCTTATAATTACCCGCAAAATTTCACTTTCCTACCTCTAACTGTAAAGATTCCTTTTTTATAGAAACATTGTCCAGACTGCCATACATGTGTTACTTAATTTAAGACTGGGCGATGAATATGCGGGGAAACAACTAATAATGCTTCAGACAACATTTGATTTTTAACACTTTCTACAGAGCCGTCTGACTTTTTAAACTGAGACCAAGAAAAGCAGGACCTTCGAACCTCATTTTAAAGCCCTTTGTGACCTATTTCAAATTGTTTTCAGATCTAGCTATCTCCTTTTTTTCTGTTTCTTAAGTTAAACAGACAGGTGCTGAATGTTTTGGGTTCTTTTAGTCTTGAATACAAATGCAGATAATTATGGAAGCATGTTTTCGAAAGCTCAAATTTCGATGGTGGGCTGTGAAAAAATTCCAGTTTTTGAGACAAAACGTGATTGGTCAAGAAAATGGTCCACCTGTCCCTTTAAAAGTGATTTGGAAAGGCATGATGACAAATTCTATACTGGACTGGACCTAATCAAATGTTATTCATAACTGCCATTAATGAAGAAATCTGGCATGTTTACTACTTTCCAACTTTCAAGGGATCTTTAACATGCACAGTCTGTAGCACATGGGGCCTTCTAAACAGCTAGCATTTTTCCATGTCAGCCCCTCTTACCTGCATCAATGACAACTCTACCTATGCTTGGATTGAACCATGGAAACTAAATATCTTGATACATTTTGAATGTGATCTCCTACAGGTTGCAGCAGTAGATTTATCGAATAGCATCGAACATACTGATTTATGAAAAATAAAAGGGATTGTAAAGATGTTTTCTAAATTTCTATGTGGGAAATGTGCATAATCACATAAAGACTTAGCAATTAAGTGTCGCAATATCATCAAACACTTAGTTTTTGTGGAGTTGCAGGAACCACAAATGTCTGATTGAAAATTGGAACGGAGCAAATTGATGCTATCAGTGTCCCTGATACACATTAAATGGCTGCCAACAGAATACATCCACAATGAGAACTAAAAAACATGTAATAAACACACTTATGTAGGGATATAAAACAACTAAAGGAATAAGCACTGGAAAAATTTACTGTTCACTATATAGAATTAACAAATAATTTATCAGGTTGTCCATTTATTTGAAGTCAAACCTTAGGATGGTCCGAAACGACTGTTTGATAAGGTATAATTTCATCTCCATCAAAATATAATCCTTTAGCATCCAATGAAGACTGTAAATTATGAAATATTTCTTCAAAATTGTAGTAGGGATTTCTCATCTTCATTCTGTATTCATTCCAGTCATCCTCTTCTATCATCGCACCCCAATCTTCAAACTTATCTGAAAAACCATCCAGGAGGCTATCATGGAAATCCAAATCTAGTTTTTCTATGTCTTCTATAATCATTTCCACATCTGGAAAATTAGCTGCATCATAAACCAAGACCTCACTTTGACTTCCCTCTTGTTTTTTGTGGAGGAAATCCCTATAATTGTCTCTAAACTCCGACAGGAACTTCTCTGTTAAAACTGGACTACTGACTTCCCAAGGTATATTTCTTTTCTTAATAGCTTCTTGCATATACTTAACGCTAGCATCAATATAAATATAGAGATGTGGTCGGTGTAATTCACACAAGGCATCTCTACGGGCATTATGAAAAAACCTCAATTCAGATCTATTGATATAGTTGAATTTAGCTAAGGTTTTGGCAAATATAATATCAGAGTGGACACCCCGGTCCATCACAACTCCTTGTCCAGTATTGAACAGATGACACAAACCCTCACAATACCGGTAAAATCTGTGTATAAAAAGATCTCGCTGTGTCATGGCAATTCGTGATAGTTGTTTTTCAGGGACACTCTGTGTGTAAAATTCTTCAAAACTACATCGCCTTGATGAAACTGGCATATATTCATCCAAAGGTTTGGTATCATATCCAGACAAAGAAATAAAAACCTCTTTATCAGTGACATCAGGGATGTATTTCAGATCAAATTCCTGGGCCAATTTATTAGCAAGAGCTGTTTTACCAACCCCAAGCGGTCCATCAATGACGACCACTTTACTGTTCTCATCCATTCTTTTTGTAGTTCTGTCAAAAAACTGATAAAACCAGTTGTAGTTAAGCTTTTTATATGGCCAGGGCTTTTCTCCAAGTGGTGTTTTTCCTTGAATTTCCATAGTTTTGAGAGAGGTCAAACTAGCTGTCTGGTTCAAAACAATCCGACATCTTGCTTGGTACAGAAGCCGTCTTCTGCAAACATTATCTAGAGTTGTTCTAGATCCTAGTGCAATGAATGACATATTTCAGAAACAAATATGCTCAAACGAAAAGTAAAAAATACTTTTCCGAAAAGTGCTTCAATCCTTCTCCTGTCAGTATCATGAAACCGGAAATAGCCAATGTAACCAGTTTAACGAGAACGTACCCACATTAACATTGAATACGAGCTTCATTGAACATCATGTATAGCGAGGATTGTGCGGTTAAAGGAACATAAATTAATATTTGATTTCAATATCACTTTCCATTATATAAAATTCTTCTTGCATCGCAATAAAGAAATACTTTGATAGCTTTGTAGTTTAGATTGTTGCCTATTATGCAGATATTACCATAATATGAGAATGTTTAACCTATGACTTTCACTGCACACTTTTAATAATAAAAATTTACCATACGATAAAAAAAAATGTATACGTTAACCCACTTAGTGTCGCCCTTCACAGAAAGCAAAGCTACGAAAGCATTATTTAAAACAGAAATTTAAGAACCCAAAAGAACACTCATTATACTTAATTTATGGTGAAAGTACAATTAAAAAATCGAATGGTGTAACATAATCACTAGAAAAAAACTTCGGTCAAATGCGCTTAATACATGATACACTCAGTTAAAACAAGAGTCAATAGGCCCACGTTTCAATAGAATATTTTCAATTCTACTTACGGGGACATCAAAGTTTTAATGACAAGTTTATACTGTTAACCTGTAGCCTATACATAGTACAGCCAATAGTTAACCACTGGATATTTCTTTGTGAATCAATACACGGATGGTAGGGAAAAGATATCTACATTCGATAGTATACACAGTTAATATTTTCTCAAACCTATAGGCAATGGATTTTAACCAACTTCAAAATCAGACAGTTTCTGAAAATAATTACGATACGTTACAAATTTTTGAAATATGTTGTATAGTGCTTATTTTTCTATTTGGATTATTGTTAAACCTGGTTGTATTAGTGATCTATGTTTTTAGTAAAAATGTTAGACATGTCAAAAATAATTTAGGAGTATTTAATCTCATAATATGTGATCTGATCTTTCTATTTATCGTCATTCCAATGTCATTTATATCAATAACGTTTCCAGATTCAGATATAGCCGAACAGGTGATGTATGGTACAGTTTGCCAGGTAAGTAACGGACAAAAGATTGTCTTGTGCATTCGCGCCTTATGTTTCGCATATGAATTCATGGCAATGTCATGTCGTTTAGTGAGAATTTTAAATATAATGAGCAAAACACCATAAATGATACGGAATTTACGGTGGAATTGAATTTTACATCATTCTTTTTTGTCTCTAAGAGACAGAAAGCGGATAAATTCAGGTAGTAGGCAATATGAAGCATAATTTGAGCAAGTTTTGTCCAGGATTTCATCATCCATAGGACCTTTATATTTCAGGGAATTCATGTACAGAAAGCTTATCATTGGGGAAAGAGGGTATGCATACAGCCTCGCCCCCTCTCTCAGATGTGGTGTCCTACCTCTTGCCATTGAAACTGGCCGTTACAGTAAGCCCCCTGCCCCCCTGAAAGATCGTCTTTGTCCCTTTTGTAATAAGGATGTTGAAAACGAGTTTATTTTTTGATTGACTGTATAGTTTTAGATGATATTCGACAGAAACTTTTTAATACCTTTAATACTGATAATTTTATTAATTCTGATGATATGAAGAAGTTTTTAAACATCATGATGTCTTCTGAAAATATCCCTGCTATCGCTAATTGTATTTTAAACATGCTTAAAACTAGACGCATTTACGTTTGAAGTTAAATTGTTATTTTATCTGACTGATTATTATTTTGTGTGGATATGTATGTGTGTGCATAGTTTTATTTAGTCATGTAACAAGTCCTTGATTTATTTTAATAGTTGTAAAATTTTTCATAGTTTAAACGAGATGTTATTTATATATTTATAGCTTTCTTGACATGTGTTTATTTTTTTATCTATGATTCGTTTTAATAGAGTCGTTCACTTGTTCTGTTGTATCTTATCGTCTAAGTATTATAATGTTTTAGACCGTGTCTCATAAGCCGATTACCGCTTGGTATTATTCATTGCAGGGCGTTCGTAAGCGAACGCCCTGCTTTGTTTTCGTATTGATTTTTTTTTTTCGTCCAGCGCAGGCCGGTTTTCTCGGAAACGGCAACAGGTACGGGAAAACGGACTTCGTGGCGTTTCGCAACTCGTGGCTAACAGTTCTAGTCATTCTATTGTAATTGTAATTGTAATTGTTTTTGTTAGTATATACTGAATGTTATACGTGACACGTAAAAAAATATTATTATTATTATTATTATTATTATTATTATTATTGTAAGGTCTATGATATATTTATAACAGTTTTATAATGTTTTATTTTTAGTTGACGGGCTTCCTGTCTGTTACTGTTTGTACAACTTCCAGTTTAACATTAGCATGTATAGCTATAGACAGATATAGCGCTGCTCTTTATCCCCTCTCATATTCAACAAAAATTCAACAAAAACATTGCATAGGTAAGTTTTTTTCTCATGATTTTCTACCATTTTCAAAGAATTATAGTCCAGTATGCTATATCTTTTCTGATATTTTACTCACAATTCGCTGACATACGTTATATGATTTGTAAAAAAAATAGCGTCATTAGAACGAGACTGAAAAAACTTGTTGGATTAAGGCCTACTATGGAGGCGAAAAATATCAGAAAACAAAAACAGAAAGATGGTAGGCCTTGCATTCAATTTTTCATCAATACGAAAAGATTATAATCATATCAAGGCATCCATCTTGCCCAAGATTAATGAAATGATGTTATTGGTCACAGCGCTGATTCTTTCTGATCATATCATTTTAGTTATACTGGGGTTTTGTTGGCTATGGTCAATGTTAACAGCTATGCCACCAATTTTACCGAGCAAGCCAGCACTGTATTACTATCATGATGGCACCAAACACTGTTCACCGTCCTTCCGTACACATTGTTGGTATTATTGGTACTGTACGGTAATGGGTTATGGTATACCTCTTCCTATCATGACAGTCTGCTACGTCCAGATTTACAGGATACTTCGGAACCAGAAACGTAAAGTATTTGGCACTACGTCAATCAGACTACCAAAAGTTGCAGTGATTGAGAACCAAATTCCGATGAAACACGGCGATTCCTTTGGAATGGAAAGCAATTCTAACATTAACCATCATTGTGACATTCAGGATGTGGGAAAAACTAAATTTAGAAAAGTGACGCATAACTTAACGAGAAGACCACAAGTACAAATAGCAAAGCGAGGTTTGTTTTCTGAATTTTTCAGATTTTCTCCATTTTAGGCTAAGAATTTTACTTTTTAATATTAGAATATTAAACATTCTCCAACGTTTTTCCATTTTTATGGCAGGAATAGACGTTGGATAAAATCTTAGAAATCACAACATATTGTTTTCCATTTTTCTTTTATCTGAATTGAATATATACATGAGACATGTAATAGTCTAGAGATATGTATCTGTTCTTGTTTAATGAAAATTATTGATAGTGCTTTGAAATTTGCAAACTAAGAAGTTTTTGCAACGATTTTGAATCTGAAAATTATAGGCTTCGAGTCAACTGAATTAAACTATTATGTTTTACTATATTGAAACGACCTAATCAAAACTTATCTGTTTATTTTCATCATTTCAGGTGCAATGTTGATTTTGGCATATTTCTTATGTTGGGGTCCATACGCTGTATTGTTTGCATGTCCAGGTCATATTGTTACAGCGGAGTGGGTGGAAGTGATGGCAATGTGGATTGTATACTCACTAGTTGTGTGGAATCCGCTAATCTATGTGTTTAATAATCACCAATTTAGACTGGAAATGAAACGCTTCCTTCGCCGACTAAGAAAATTCTGTTAGTACCATCACCAACAAAAACTGCCACTAAACCAATTCATGAGATTTTTATTTAATTTCTTGCCTCCATTGATTCCAAACATAGAATGTTTATTTTTATGGCCCAAGATTTGCCCTAATAGTTTGCTACGCTCAGATATATCTTGGACATTGGAGCCCATGGATCTTTAACGTGAACAGTCTGTAATAGCAGAAATGGCCTCGTTTTATTGTATCGTACACCGCACCGTATCTCTTCTATTCGCGGCTTAAGAATGTCACTTCCGTCGATTGAAGCAATTAATAATCTCAACCGTATATAGACGATCTGGAGTTTAAGATTTTTTAGTCTGAAAAAAGGGTAGACCTATGGGTAGCCGATATCAAGATGTATCGGCTGGTGAAATCATTGATTAAAATACCTTATACCTTTAAATGAGTGTTCCCTACTTCGTATGATTGTATTGTAGCCTACATAGTAATAAAAGACTATATTGTAATATACATTATATTAATAGGGTACAAATTATTAAAGTGAAAGTAGCAATGATTTTACAATAACATGTTCTCTGAACAATATTTAAATCCTAACTAGAGCATTACTGGTGTTTACCTGTTATTGAAAACCAGGTTTAATAGACACGATATAATGGCTTTGAATCCCAAGATTATAATTAACAGTAAACATAGATCATCAATATACCTCAATACTTTCATTGAATGGATACAAAACAGTTTTCTAGCCTGTGTATGCCTGTATCAGGAGCACTTATAGCTTCTATATCCAACCATTCTGATAACCCAACCAATGAAGTTCCCTTTATTCCAGAAAACTTGAGCAATTTATGACGTAAATGTTTTTTTAAAATTGCGTTGCTCAAATGGGATTTGTCCATTTGATGTCATAATTAGCCTACACATACCTAGGCTAGAAAAAATTTTTGGACCGATTTTAATATTTTTATTATTCCTTACTGATTGCTAAATATGATCCTAAATAAAACGAAATCTTAAACAATTGAGACTGAACTGTACGAGCTACCATCCACAGGTTTTTCAGTTTAATGGACATTTTCTTCTGTATGCCACCTTGTATGTTGTCTTAAACACATGTTTCTGAACCATTCTGAAAAGAAAATTTTAAATGTCCTAATTTTCTGTTCCCGGTTAGAAATAGGGTGGTAAAAGAAATCATTGTGTTCCAGATGGGGATTTGGACAGGTTTGTGGCATAAGCCTATCTCTTTTTGGATTTTCATTGGGCTTCGGGTTATTGTTCCATCAAACCGGCTAGACGCATTGTCCGTGTTATAAAACCAGAGACATATTCAACTTACCTATAAGCTGTACATTGTTTCCAACCAAATCGTCCACATTTTACAGTGAAACTTTCCCGTACGGGAATTCTAATCCCTCTTTTGATGGACTCCTTATACGTCACGATCCTACAGTTGCTGAAATATACAGAAAACAATTATACAGATTTAAACAGATTTGATGAAGTTGAAATTGATTTTGGACATTCGGCGTTTTTTTGAGAATAGTGTTGCCATTAAACATTGTTATATCGATGGATGTCTGTCGAAATAGGTGGCTATATTTTACCATACTCGCTAAATTAGAACAGAAAGCATCACAATTATTTGCCAATTTCATTTATAGATATGAAATACTTTCAGAAGCATGTACCTTGTTTGGCATCTAAAACCGGAAGTACCTTCAAGACATTCACATTGATTACCACGCAGACATTTACCACCATTTTTACAGACTGGTCGACAGCTTGGTCCTCTTCTAAATGCTGAAAATAGTAGATTTCGTACTGCCACTGGGTGTCATTTAGTAATACGTGAACATAAGTTGAGAACCAATGTGATTTACCATATAAAATTACAATCCACAAATCAAATTTCAAAAGCCGACAAATCAAATTCCAAAAGCCCACACATCAAATTTCAAAAAGCCGACGAATTAAATTCCAAAATCCCCCAAACCAATGAAGTAATGATCTATCTAAAATGACTCATGCTTACCATTTTGGCATCGACTTCCACTAAAACCTCTTGGACATCTACATCTATTGATGCCAATACATCTTCCATTATTTTGGCATTTAGGTGAACAGGTTGGGGCAGCTAAAATATAATGATGTAAAAAATGATATCGAAAGAAGGGAAGAAGTCGCAGATCGGTTAAAGCTTTCATGTTTGAATTGCGTTAAATTTTATTTCATTGCAGGCGAATCGGACGGGCTTTCAATTCAATTTTACAGTGGTGTGTGTGATAGAATGAAAGGCAATGTTTCTGGTGATGTTTCTGGTGATATTTCTTCTCTTAACACTATGAGCATGTTAGGGTTTCTTTAAGTTTCCACAATTAAAACTAATGGTTTTTAAATTGAATGATAGGAAGTTTTTTAAGATATTCAAATAATAATTACATTGAGTACATCTTACTCCGCTAAATCCTTGTTGACATGAACAAACGTTTGGCTGACGGCAAAGTCCGCCATTTTTACACGATGGAATACAAATAGCTGTAAGAGAATCAATCAATTAATTGAATTAAGTGAATAACCACACAATAATTACTTAGAAAAGAATAATATCCTTTGCCATAATAACAACAATGTATGTTTATTATTAAACACATTATTAAATCTATTTAACAAAGATGGTGAAAATCAATTGACAATGAAGTAAAACAATAGAGTTTATAGTTTTCAGTTGCTAAGGGTGTAAATTATCATTTCTTAGCGGTTTCCTTGTTCTTAACCTGGACTACTAGTATTCCATAAGGGTATCAACAAACACAGAAAATAGTGTATCATCGTATGCCTATTGTCATCTGTGACAACATTGCCAATATTTACTTGCTCCTTATATCAACTGTTAAGCTTTCATCGAAATAATTTGTTCTTCGTTTTGCTTACGGCATTGTAGAGTAGCTTTTGAAGAAGTTGGAGATGAATAGACAACAGTTTGGAAACAATTTCAACGATACATGTATTGCATTTTTGAAAGAAGAATTTGTGTCGACCAATATGGAAAATTGTACAGCAAAGATTGATTTGAACCAGTTCAATGACTATAAGTTTAAACTTGATTAGTTTTCAATGATTTATTAAAATAGCGTCAAGGATGATTGTCCCTCAAAGCTATACGTACGGGTTTGACACTTTGATCCAGAATATCCAGTTTTACATTGACATTGGTTTGGAGCAATACATTTTCCTCCATTCTGACATCCGGGACTACATACAGCTGGAAGTAAATCATAGAACGACGGGTTACGACAATGTAAGTAGAAAAAAGATTGGTCTCATGAAGTTAGGATTTGTTCCGAATGGCAATTCGATCAAAACAGTAGCCTCTCTAATTGTATCTTGACCCTATTGAATGGAGTACACAATCAGTCATCAGAGTTACAAACCTGTGATACAGCCATGACCTGTCCAACCAGGGGAACATATACATTGATTATGTCGGTGACAGGCTCCACCATGAGCACAAGGTGGATTACATCTTGCTGAAAATATAATAAAATATATCAATGTATATGAGAACTTGCAACATCTAAAGGTCCTACAATTGCAACAACCGGTCTTGGTAGATCGGGCTTCTTTGAATGGAGTTCGATAATTACTGGGAGGGCAAGATCCATTTTTATAATATTTGTAGTTTTAAAGGGCTAAAAACTTTATCCAATAGGCTGAAGTTAACTTTTTTTAGTAAGAAATAAATACCTGTACATCTTGGACCAGGATAGCCAACGGGACAGAGACACTGATTTGGTGAAATACATTTACCGTTATTCATGCACTTAGGTTCACAGATGGCTGAAAATTTCAAAAACGTAAGATTATAACCCTATTTGAAATTCGATCAATGAACACAGTTGTTAATAAGATCTCGATGATCAACGGTGATTGTGACATCGTCTACATCAAAACTTACCCGGACTTACCAGGTCATGTGTCATCCCAAGAAATTCTGACGTGTCGATGTGTGAAGACGTAAAACGCATTACCAAACACCTTTTAGTTTTTAACTGCTGAGTAAATATTCAACCTGATTGACACTGATTGGTGATAATTAGTCCAATCAGTCGGCACATTCTAAACCTATGAGTCACTGTTTGTTCGGAATTACTCGTATCTAAATGGGCAAAAATGGATAATTTTTACGCAGAGTTTCTTTTTATTCAGGTGATGAGATAATAGCCTAAATGCTCTTTTTGGTCGCTCAGTTGTGTGAGAGACGTCATAAGTACGATTTCCATGAAAGTCCTGACTGAATTACAGTCTATTAGTTATGTCCATTTGTTATGATTATGAATACAATTTCGAGTTGGTGAAGTCAAGTTTTGACTTTTGGACATATCGGGAGACTTTTCCACGCCACAAATTGCAAATTGTGGACATATATCCAAATTTGTTTTGGGGGAAATAGCAACTCAGGGCATAAAATGGACAGATTTGAACTCATTATAAATAACAAACCTTCACATTTGTGGACATTATCTCTATGAATAAGAAGTTTGTAACCAGAATAACAGGAACATTGGAAACTACCAGGTGTATTGATACATTGCTGTTCACAGCCACCATTCATTACTTTACATTCATCTATATCTGTTTATAATTAGGGTAGAAAATAAAATTATATGTTGAGAGACACATGGATAACGATAAATAGCGATATTGTACCAAAAAGGTGCACATGTGGTTACCCACAACTGATACCACAGCTGCATGGAACCCAATTATAATAGTGTTGAAGGTAAAATATCGGATGTGAAGTTCACGATTGATAAATGTAAACGATACTCGGACAAATAGCGACCAAATGTCGTGCAATGTAAAAGGGCAATAAGCGGTTGCCCACAACTGATACCACAGCTTCAAATATCAAATTATTACTGTGTTAATGATTAAATGTCGGATAAACGTGATATAGTCTTCATGAATTTGAGGGTCCGAAGCAAATGTTCACGATTAATTAATGCCAACGGGACAAATTTCGACATTGTACCAAATGCCGTGCAATGTAAAAGGCAAAAAGCGGTTGCCCACAACTGATACCACAGCTGCAAGGAACGAAAGTATACAGGAAGTGATTCAGACTTTATGAAGAATAAGCATAGAATGTATCATCAAAATCTGAGACTGTGGTCGCAGTCGTGTTCACAAACCAAGGTAATCTGAAATGTAATCAATTGAAGAGCATTTTCAACGTCCAGAAGCTTAGCCTGGTTGAAAATCTTTCGCATCCAAATTTGCCGTAAAATAACTTTCTGCGAATTTCGATTGCCTATTTCAATTATGTGGTCAAATCAGACAGATCATGAAGCCGTGTTTAAATTGTTAGAAAGAGTCCACGTTCGCTGGCATCACTAATGGCGCAATGGACAAGAAAACCTCCAAGCATCGTGTCCAAACCACGCCCCATTCAATAAGACAATGTCTCAAAACCCGTAGTATACGATACGATGACCTCCACGGAACTTTACCAAAGCGAACAGTAATATGCCAATGATGCAAAAATTGAACTGGTGTTATAGAAAATATTACCAATGCATTGTTTGTAGTCATCATGTAAATAAAATCCATCAATACAACTACATAACATACTGCCATCAGATAAATCTTGACACTTCTGACCACACCCTCCATTTTTATCCGCACAACTCATTATAGCTGAAATGATACAAGATACATGGTCTAGTGCTTCTTTAAGTTGACATCATCAGGCGTTTAAATTTGTAAAAATTCAATACTTTTAACCGTGGGTATGATAAACGCCAAGAATAAATGTATAATTGCTATGTTTCTGAACAATGGCGGAATATACATTATATACTGCATGAACACCATGTGTTTTGACTTTGGAGTTAAAACACAAATGACCTTTAATTTGATGGTTGAGGCACTATGAATTTGGATGTGGTGGACGTTGATCTGGTGGTTGGAATTCTGATACCAAATGATGCTTGTGCTTGAAACATCATTAACCTAAACTGACAATTTTCTTGCATTATACCAGATGATTGTATTGTATTACGTTAGTCGACAGAATTCGTTTTTTTTTATATGAAAATGTCATAGTACTTGTAATGGCATATTCAGAAGAGAGACAGAGAGAGGTTGTAACTATACTTCCAGTGGTTGAAATATAAAACAGCATTTATCTGGAAACAATAGGAATTTGACTATCTGTCTTAATGAATTTGCCTTAGGGGCAGGTTAGTTTAACTTTACTGACATTGTTTTGGTTACTACGCAAACAGGAAACTACAAAAATAAATTTCAAGAATTTGGGTCAAGGAGTTTATACATAAACCATATTTCAACATCGATTTTCATGGTAATTTCTTCAAACACATCAAGAAATAACTTCTAATTTTATACAATAAAAGGCTTCTATGAGATGACAATAGTTAGTTAAATGATTTCTCTTTACTTAAACCTTCCGTTGTGTCTCTGATAAATGCATTTTCACCAACAATCAATTTGTATCCGTGTTACTTACAGAGTTATTCTCATCAGTTTGTGAACATACGACATGTTAATATTTTCCAGATCACGTTTTTGAGCACGTGAAGAAAATTGGTAATTATCAAATTAGGTGTATTAGAAGACATCTTCACATTGTGAAGCTATTGTGAATTTCGTCTTATACCTTGAATGCAAAAGCCACCTTTACCATTCTTGTATGTCAGTCGACTGTAATCATAGTGGTAAATAAGTTACAGAGTTTCTGTCGAGGGCCCTGGTTAGCTGTATTAGCTTACGTATGATCTGACCATCATTGTTGCATTTCAAAGTTTCGTGATGAAAGAAAGGTGGATATTGTAGTCAAGGTATTGTTCGCAATGCCTTATCATGCCTTGATATAACAATGAATGGAAATTATCATGCAAGCAAAAGAACTGAAAATAGATCAAGACTTATAAAATAACCATGAATGATAAATATATATACTTCAAACCGAAAAATGAAAATTTTCATGCATGATAATTATGATAATGGATATTATCACGCAAGTCTACTGAATTATTAAGTCACTAACGATTACATCGAGTCATACGCAGATATTCCATCTGCAATGCACGAAAATTGCTTCAGTAAACTCATGATATACAGATAGGTGAGTGACGTATAAATAAGTAATATTTACGTCTGCATTGGGATTGATCATCTAAAACTTGATGTGAAGGACACGAGCAAATAAAACTTCCATTAGTATTTGTACAGATTTGAGAACACCCACCATTATCAATCAAACATTCATTAATATCTGGAAAATGGAAATATAAAGGCATAACCTTCCCAAATGTCAGTATACATGTCCGAAAATCGACAAAGCAATGAAGTTGACTTGGACAAGATCAACGATGAATCATCGAAAAATATCATGTTTCCGCGGAGAAATAAGCCGTTTTCTGACTTCTAGTGAGAACGTTTCAAGCGGTATACATTGTAGCTCCAAACTGTCGATAGTAACGATGGGACTTTGATCTGCCAAGGACTCGATCGCGGAATTGTCTGTTGATGCTGTTTGAATTTCAAAAAGGTACTGTACATACCTACACATGTTTTGCCATCAATATGAAGAGTATAACCATCTCTACAACTACATGTAAAAGATCCTTCTGTATTTTCACACAGTTGGTGACAATTACCGTTATTCTTCTCACATTCGTCTATATCTAAAACATAGTAATGAGATGATACACTGGCGGTGTATTTATGAAACGATCTTAGCGATAGGACTAGGGCTTTAACTTCAAACACTGTATCTAGGATATCATAGCGCCAGAATAATATCAAATGTGGATATAGAATAACTCAGTGTTACGGAAATGGGGTGTAATGATCATCACTTGAGGATCTGGATGACCTACGACCTGCGCAAACAACTATCACTGGTTAATATTTTATGGAACGTTTCGAGGTTTTTCTCCCGTCAATAAACTCAACCAGTGATTGTTGAGCTGTGTGATTATTACCTGTACATGTTATACCATCATTTTCTAATCTGAACCCTTGTTCACATAAACATCTGTAATGTCCAGGATAATTTATACAGATATGTGAACATTCGCCGTTATTTCTTTCACATTCATTGACATCTGAAATGTCAAATTATTAAAATGAAACGATAAAACAATTGCGTGGTAAAGATGGTACATCATAATAGAAATAGTAGAGCAAGATTGCAACTGGTATCCTTTGACTTTATTTATGATGCGAAATTTTATAAACTGAAATAAAAAACAATATATAAGTACCAAAACAATTTCGTCCATCACCGGAGAATCCTTTTCCGCACTGACAGAAAAAGGATCCGGGAACGTTACCACAATAAGCATAATGATGACATGTATGTATATTCTCGGCACACTCGTCTATATCTGAAATTAAGAACACACGAAATTTACAATGCCCATTTCATAAAAGAATACAGCCTTATTCGAGAAATTTAGCCACAACAGTTCCTCAGACGTGATATAGTGGCATCCAGACTGTTAATTTCACAAGCGGTTAAGGTCTATGCTGTCAGCAGCAGGTTTCTGGGCAACACACCACCAACTGAGCCTCAGGTTTTGTACTCTGTTGTCCCAGAATGAATTCGCTTCAGAAAACCGAACCGATTGGGAAAAAGATCAATAAAAGATAGTTACCTGTACATTGGTTTGCATGTTTGCGGAATCCTAAAGGGCATGTACATATATATGACCCATCTGTATTTTTACACAACATTTCATCAGGGCAGGCCTTACCTCCCATTCTACATTCATTGATATCTGTAACAAAAGTAACAATTTTATTTACTTGGAGTTTTACATTAAGAGTGGCTGTAGCGAAATGGGGTATAGATAGCTGGACACGTATTTCATATTTCATTACGAGATTTGTTATTTTTAGCACCATCAGTATCAATCGGGTATCATAAATTTGTCAAATTTGTCAACTTATATAGGTTTATCGTTGCAAGAGTGAAGTTTCTATGCTGTATCTTTAAGATTGATACCAGTAATATTTATGAGTAGCTTACCTTGACAAGTTCCATAAACATCTTTATAACCAGGAGCACACTGACATTTATAACTTCCTCTAGTGTTCACACAAACTTTCTTTTCTTCACAATTTACCACTGAACACTCGTTTAAATCTACAATTTATGAACATGAACATAAGTTGCTTATACCTTTCGTTTCAGAGCGCATTTCATCAAATCATCATGCATCCTGAAATTCATCAAGTGCACAAACCCAAGGGCATAGGATAGTGATCCGACCCCGGATGAAAACGTTCACTAACGATAACGATATACAATACCTTGACAAACGCCGTCCCGGTACTTGAATCCTGGATTACAGATACATTTATAAGATCCTGGTACCTCCTCACATCGGGCTGCTTCATCTCCACAAATATGTTCATCTAAACAGTCCGGTATATCTATATAGAAACAAAACGCACATTGGTGCTGAGAAAAGGACTAATACAGACGACCATAAACTATCAATGTTCACTTGAAAAAATGGTAGTCCGAAACTTGCTGACCTCTAAATATATTTGATTCACGGACTAGTAAGACGTTTAGCAACGTTTATGCCACTCCGTAGGCCTATGGTGACTTACAAAATTAGTAGCCTTACAGCCAGTGAATAGGCTGTGGACTTATAGAAAATCAAAATGAAAGACCTATGCTATGCGCAATCTAATTAAAATTAGATTACGATTTCGTTTCGTTATTATTTTTCGTATGCATAGTAATAACTTACCAACACAGCGACCAGACGGATCTAAGTAGAATCCAGGTTTACAATTACAGACAAATGACCCCAGTGTATTGGTACAAATTCCATCATTTAAACACAGTCCTTCTTCACATTCATTTCTATCTGAAAATTATAAAAATAACATCGTCTTTTGTGGGCAAAGAAAGTGCATATATATGTTTTTGGCTTAATGATGCCAAATTATTGGGATAATTGAGACCAAATGATCTGGTATTTTCAGATCGCTCTTCGACATCGCATGTCATTTAGTATCTTCCAAAACAAAATTCAGTGGTCATAAATTGAAAAATGGATCATACCTTCACACGAAATATTATCTGTTTTTATCTTATAACCAGGATAACACCAACATAACGGTTTTTGTTGATAATAATAACTACAATAATGTTCACAGGGGTTGTTATCTGGACATTGTGATATATTATTTATATCATTATCTTCAATAATTCTATTATCTTCTATAGTATTAACTATAATATAAAGTAGAAACGGTTGTTATCTTGACATTGTGATATATTATTTACATCATTATCTTCAATTGTTATATTATCTTCTACAGTATCAACTATAATATATTGTGTTCTTCATTATCTTCAAAACTTCTATTATCTTGTATATGTAGTAGAAAGGGTTGTCATCTTAGCAATATGTTGTTTGATATATAAAGAATTATAACCGCGTCTTGACACTCGTGATAGTAAATGTATTAGATTATGTATAATGTATGATGTATTAGATTTTGTATAATCTTGTAGTGTGAACTATTATTATTAGGTAATACTAATTAGGCATTGTGTAGTTTATAAGTTAATAATGAAAACTTTATTGATTTTTAGAATAAAAGCAATTGGTTTTTATTAAAACAGTATATATATAGGCTTACCATTAGGATTGTCTTCTGGCCAGAAAACCATTGGGACTTTAAAAGATTCTTGACCTTGTTCTTCTTCGCCGTAATCATAATCCTGAAAATTGAAATAGTGTTACAGTGATGGATCGGGTAAATATTGCGTTCTTGTGTGTTTGCCAGGTAATATACGGGGGTACGTCTGACTAAAAATTGTAATGGTGCAAATTGATGCAATCAGTGCCCTTTAGAAAACATCTTTATAATCCCTTTAACCTTGAAATAAATCCACCAAAGGCTTTGTGTCATGACTGGAGACGATATACTGAAAAAAATTTTTTTTGTAGGCCCTATACGTGATTGGCTAATGAAGACGTACAACGTCACGCAACATGCAAGAACGGAAATTTTCCAGGAATGCAGTGGCATTATTAGTCGGCTCAGTTTGGATTTCCAGCTTTCTGAAATGAAATTTATTATATAGGGTTATTGATAAACGAAAACAATACCTTTGTGTCAACTGCTGGAACATTGTTGTCTGTGATCTTCTCAGAATAGCAGGAACCGGTAGCGCAAATGATATATATTCCCAAAATGATTTTAAGTCTCATTTTCGTGCAGTAAGCAGAATTTTAATGGGAATTTTTGAGAAGATGCACTTCAACACATATCAAAGAAACCTAGTAGAGATAAATATGCGTACATGAAAGCAAGATAAATTGGTGAAATTTAAGATAGAGATTGTAATTAAAAGATTTAACCCTATATTGATAGTCAGACCGTCTACATCTTAATTTAAATAAAATATGAATTAAAACGCACTAATGAGCTTCGTAACATTTTGATAAGGCACGTGTCAAGTCTCTTTTTAATTATAGACACAAATTTGTCTTTTACTATCTCAAATCTTAAAAGGGGGGGGGGGGGGGGTGTTTTGAAAGGGTGTCGGTCCATGGTTGTCTAAGACATATAGGGCAAACAAGTATACAAGCGACAGAGAAGAGTTGCTATAGAGTTGGCTGGTGAATTGTGTCAACGTCATGCAAAATTGTTTTACGCTCTAGCAGTATTATTAGCACTATCGGGGATAAAAAAAAGTGGGACGTAGGCCGTACAACGATTGTATTTTCAACATAGTTTAGATTTCTACAATTTAATCAAAAGCAGGAAATCAAAAGGTGTTTTGTTAGAGACACTTAACATTCTGCTGTAGAATTAGACATTTTTTTTATTATTTGCTGATGGCTTTTCCTTACGAAACTTTTTTTTATATTTTTATAATTCTGTATAGAAAGTTCATTAGCCTGCTATTGAAATTAGAAACAAAAAGGAAAAAATAGAAAGGGCTTGGAGGACAATGATTCCTTTGTATTTCTTATAAATAATCATGAGAATAACCGATCAAGAAGTACAATCGAAGAATCATTAAGACAATATCGATATATCATGCAAACGACTCATTCATTGGTGAGTGTCAAATGCCAAAAAACAAACAGATCCAAACAGAACTTAAAGGTAAACTTGGTTAAAATGAGTATTTGTTCATCAGTGAACATACCTGGCGTCATAACTATGTTAAATAAACCCTCTAAAATACAATAAATCTATAAAACTAAGTAATAATTCATTTAACTAAGTAATTTTTAAACATACTTAGAAGATTTAATAATAACGTAGTTTAATGGATACATTGTCTTATATAGAGATGTTGTTAGTCCAACTGATGAATATAAACACTTGTTGATCAAGTTTTAAACTTTAAATTATATATCCATTCTAAGTATCCTTTGAACAATATCGCCAAAATGTTCTCAACTCACTCTTGTTTGTGGAAGTTGTAAAAGTGTCAGCTATAATGTTTTTTCAAAAAATTGTTGACTCCAAATCTGACATCTTAGGAACATTTTATCAGAAATATAATATACGAAATCATTAAGCTAATAACCCAAAATATTGGATTGAGTCTTCGGGTTTTCAAGTTGGAGAGTCCTGGATATTTGGACAGATAGATGCAGATTCCGAGCAGCATAAATAAAGACCAAAGTTTCTACAAGACAGCTGATGACAGACAGCATTTTACTATCAAATACCAGTCAATGAGTTCTAATCAGAAATCGCCCCGTGTTTGGTTGAACAGTGGATATTTCAAGATAAGATCAATAGACCTACAATTTTCAAATAACTGTATTCAGTGCATTGTTCAAGTCTTTTGTTAAATAACGCTTTAAAAAAATCCTTACATAATAAATCAATGATGGTTTTCGTATTTTTTTACATTTATTTCTATGATATTCGACCATAACCTATTCAAATGTTTTGTTATAAAAGGAAACATTCAGTAAAGAGACTAATTTAAAATATAGATTTCTAAGACACAATCGGTCGTCTAGTAGACTATTACTAATTGTGCAGAGCTGAGATCTGTTAATAAAACTTCCGGTTTGCCAACAACCATTACCAGGCTTTGTCGTCTGCCAGCTCTTTATCCAGGCGAGCAATAGCTTTTTAATTACACCTCCAGTTAAGTTTCCATGGGTATAATGCAATGTTAGTTGGACCTAAGCGTGGGTGGTGTAGTCTGATGTTAAAATACATGTAGCTATAGTTACCAATATAATTCTTTAGAGTCATTGTTAATGGTAGGAAACATGGTGCCTTGCAAGTTAACAAAGTTTAGACAGTGTGAAAACTAATGGAAAATGGAAAAGCAGGTTCCACTATTCACCTTAAACTAATGTAGAATGACAATGCCATGCTGTATGCAATGAGGGGTCTTGTGTCTGAACACAACATTAGCTTTCTCTTCATCCATTTCCAACTGTCCAGTTATAGTCCAGTTATATCCTACCATGGAAGACAGAGGTTCAGAATATGGTTTACCTGGGTTTTTAATCCCATCTTGACCACTTGACAGAATTTGCAGTAATCTCGAGGAGGACTTGGTACTGTAAATTGTTTTATTTTGAGTAGAAGCAAACAGAACAATACATCCAATTATATACATGATTTATTTCAGCATTAACAATAACAATAAGATTGTATATACAATTTACTTACAAATATCACTATTATTCTTAATTGACTCATACTTAATAACTCTTATTCTATCAGTATGAAGTTTTTACTCAAAAAATTGTCCACCATATAGAATCTGATAATTGACATATAGTGAAAGAGCTTTCAATGAAACATATTTACTATCAAAAGCATTGGTTGGGGCGTAAGAAATTTGCATATTTTTAGAGAATGGTAGCAAATTAGAAAAGGAAAAGCAGAACTTTTGAGATTTGGAAAATTCTTCAAAAGTGTCATCTACATACTCAAACAATTGACATAGAAAAGCTAAGGTAATAAAAGAACACTTTCCACAATAATAGGAAATTGAATCAAAATGAAATTGATTCACAGCACATTATTTTAAGTACAATACATTGGTTGTCAATTATTCATAATGAAGCTCATGATATCATAGATAGGAACATTAATATTTAATATAATATAATGTTTCACTTTCTTTATATTTCTCACACGTCTTTGTAATTGAGCTCATGCATGATATTCTTTCACATTAAGAGATCAATATTTAATTTGATATATCACTTCATTCATATTCACTCACTTAGTTCCCGCTTCAAGTCATCTTGACAATGTCAAGCTATGATAAACTTGTCTAATACCTTGACTGCAATACCCTCCTTTTTCAATACACTTTTTTGGTTATATTGTACAGCCAAACAAAGTCCTAGGCAGAAAGTCTGTAAAAACTAAGCCATTATGTTTACAGTCTGTCTGTCGATGGCTATTATTGACTGTATTTGCTGGCATACAATCCAATCAAATCACTGCATTCTGTGATACAAGAAAAGTGGCAATTGCAGTCAATGTATAAGACAAAGTGACAATAGCTTGACATAGTGAAGATGACTTCAATTAGTCACTACATCTTTACCCTCTTAAATTGCAGTATTCTTTCAGCATCCAGTAAAGACCACTGTCATTCTACTGTTTTCCACAATAGGTTTATTCACACATTCATGTCTGGTCTTCACGAATATCAATAAGGAACATGAACATATAAGATCAAACACCTTCTAAATCCACAAAACATGGCATCATAAAATCGTGCATAGCGTATTTCCAGGTCCATCTTCGAGCTATGCGATCAAATTCTAATGTATTTGACAAGTAAAGTCTACCAATAGTTGGTTCCATACAAACACTAACAAAAGGGTCAGTAAGTAATGATTGAATACTTATCAAAACTTTAGATATTGTTAATGCTAAACTCCAATTGTGATGAATAGAATCAAGACCTACATCTCCATGACGACTAATATTTGGATGAAATATTTTAGTTATAAAACGAACTTTTGGTGGTCTCATTGGATAACTGAAATGGAAAGAAAGATTGCTTCAAGATAGATTCAAAATCTTTGATTATTTTGAAGAAAGTTTTCAGCAACGGTTTCTGTAATTATCATTTGTATAAAGCTTGATTGAAAAAGAAAAAAAAATCTGTCCTTGAGTTCGTTTACTGACAATCTGTCCTTAATTTTGTGTACTCTCAATCTATCCTTGAGTTTGTTGACACTGACTTTGATTATAAATAATGGTGTTGATATGTTTTTTCATGCGTCAAATCCATTCAGTAGCTGCAATCTACAGCAGTGTAAACAAAGGGAGATAACTCTGATATCCTAAGATGAAAAACTAACTCAGAATTCATATACTCACCTTTGTGGAATTTGTAAATATAAGAGAAAGATTCCCCCTTCATAAGGACTACCATGAGGACCTGTTATTGATGCCTGCCAATGACAACAATGTCTATCTAATGGTGTAGCTTGTATTCCTTCTGGTGGATCTGTTTTTAATGTTCTTAATTCACTTCTTAATCTTCTGTGTCTCCAAGAATTCTCTTCTATTGGTGGTGTACTCTATAATCGAAAAACAAACATGAATATTAAAATTGAAGACAAACCTCGGAGTTTAAGCCATATATAACTAATGTAAGCGAGTTCAATTATACTTAATGTAAGTAACAAAAGAAAATTAAAGGAAAACATCACTTGAAATCAAGTCAAAACCTGAAAGGAATATGTAAATAAGATATAACCTAATTAAAAAGAAAAGTTGATATACAACAGAAAGCTTATAATGACAAAGGAAAAGAAAACAGCTATTCAAATTAAAAAATTCCAATAGAAAAGAGACTTTGAATCAACACAAAATTTGTTTATAAAGAGTTAATATAGATTCTGACCTGTAACATCATACTTTCTAAACAATATCTACATGGTGAACTATTTAGTCTGAAATTAAATATAATCAGATTAAAATCTTTCTACTCTATCAAGTCTATTGTCTATTGGTTTATTTGTAATACATACAAACAACAGATTAGTGTTTCAACTATAATACAATTTCTTATTGACTTTCGTCAGTAAGTAACTAAGTTCAAAGTGTTATGATACACATGGCTACAGAAATAGACATGCAGATTAACTTTATATTCTAACCTACAGCTTTTTTTAAAAATGAATATTAATTTTTCGCTTATTGCATCATTCCAGATCTTTCAAAATTCTTTTTTACATACTTTTTTCCAGTCATAAAAACTCAAATTTTTTATATGCCAATTTTTTATAGTAAATATCCCCGAATATAGCCAATAGCGATAAATCCATCCAATTTGATTGGTTGAATTTATCAACATGCCCTTCATATAAATATGTAAGATTCTAGTATGAGTAAAGTAACTTTTAAAGTATACAAAAAGAAAGATCTAAGGCTGAATTTAAATCAGATTTGAGCTGAGTAGATTGTGCGATTTGTTTTGGACTTACAAATTGGTGTAGATAGTTTTCCAACATTTAACAGGATTTTGAGGAAGAAATAATGGCCATCGTAATTGTATAAAATGTTTCCATTCTTTCTCAGATGTTTCACCATCTAAAATCTGCCTCCATCTTGTACACACATTACCGGCTGTATATAACGATATATCGTCTAGATGTTTAAACACTACCAATAACACTGAAATATTCACATATAAGCTGATCATTTAAGGTGATACTTATGTCTACTGAATGTTCAAATTCATGACCAGGCATAATTGCAGATGTGACTACCAAATTAGTCAAGCACATTGCATTTTAAAACTTTTGAAAGTGCCCAAATCTATATGTACAAATCAAAATACTTTTAATGACATTCCAAATCAAAGATTGTTCCGATTCTGGTCTCTAAATGACAAATTTTTTAAAATATAATCAGGTGGGATACTTTCCAGGTTGAAGGTGAATATTTTTCACAAAAAGAACCATCCATTTATGAAATCTTGATGAAGGTTAAGATGCTTCTGCATAGAGTATTCAATTCTTACCCTCTGGTGGTAAAGAATCCACTAAACCCTCAGGAACATTGCCTCTATCTCTAGCTATAGTTAATGAAGTCAATCTTTCTGCTAATTTATCCGGTTTGTGATTAACAACAGGGCGTACTGCTTTACAACCTAACTCCGGTTGAGTATAGAAGTCATCTTCTGCCCCAGGTTCTTCAGTTCCAGAATCATCAGAATCTGCTTTCTATACAAATAGGCAAGAAATGTAGGCTTATTATGAAACCAAGCACATAATTCATCTTTTACACAAGATATTATTTTGTGAATTGTTGAACTGAGTAGTGAGTAGTTTGATTTATATGAAATTACAAAGGGAAAACCAACATGTAAATTACATATAAACAGCCATCCACAAAGCTGATCAACAAATACAAATTGAAGGCCTAATAAATCTACTGATTGAATGAAAATTACTGTAACCACATTAGATAAAATAAGAATTATAAAAAAGAATATTTTGAAATATTTCGAACTAACCTCGAGATAAACCTCGGCTTCTCCATCTTCATTATTGATATCACCAGAAAATAGAAAAATATGACATGTACTGCAAACTGGTTGACCAAAACTTCCTCCATAATACCCATTACACATCATACAGTGATCAAACTATAACATAAATAACCTCATTTAGAATCCCAAGCATATAGATTGAATTAATACCAATGACAATCCAATGTTATGGCACTAATACATTCTTATAAAGTATAGTAATGTAATCTAATGTGAGATATTTGGGCTACTATGAAACATGTTATATATTACAGAAGTGACTATATAAATTAAACAACAGTGCCGTTATTATAGAAAATACATTTCAAGTTACAGCAGTGTAAATGATGTCTGGTTTATAAGCCATATCTTGCATTTTGTTGAAATGAGTGCACCTGCTTTTAGGGTCTTTCTCTCATTTTAAATTTTACAAAAGCACAGGATTTTAGGCATAACCCCAGTGAAAAGGTTTGAAAGTTCTTTACTGTATAAAGATATGTGTATTCTGTCATAACTAGAGAAAATTTATTTCAGTTACTACTGCCGTAACTTTATCCAGGGTCATTTATCATCATTTGAATTGCATTACACAAAAAGACCTATTCATAACAAAAAAGGAATGAATTCAGAATCAATAGACACACCTCAGTATTTAGAAATTGAATAAGTTCAACATTTTCAACCTCTGAGAGTTTAGTACTCATTTTCGTTTTGTGGTTTACAGACATATTAATTTGTGATTAACTACAGAACAGATTAAATCTGAAGAATTACAAATAAATTTCTGTAAATGCCAAATTTGTCTTCCATCTTGGATTAATTTATAAAAATCTAGGAATCGACATTCAGCTCACAAAACGAAAGTATAACCACAATAACACTACTAATGATAATTCGATAATTTTTTCTGTATTTTACGGAACTTGATAAACGGAATTAAAATTTATTGGCTTAAGTTAGTTAATCTTTTCTACATAAAGGCCATATTCGAGATTTACTTCGTTATCCAGACAAAACATGATTATATATTTTAGAAGGCTGTGAATTTGTAAACTTCCGGTATGCGGCATGAAAATATAAAACAAATAAACAAATATTAAATTTCTGAAGTATTGGGGTATGATCAGTGAATTTTTGCGTAGTCACAATTTAATCCTATTTCCTAGTCAGTAGGCTAAATGATGATAGTCCGAATTAGTTTGATCTTGACCATATAACTCTTTCTTAACATCTTTCTGTAAGGTGGAGTATAGGCTTAATAATAATAAGTAAATCCGAAAATATCTAATCTAAAGGAGGGGTACAGTTGTCACGCATGTATCTAACCAAATCACCATTACACACGTCCACAAGCCTAAGTAATCAGTGATGCATTAGGCTAATGAATGAATTGAGTCCAAGAGAAGACAATTGTTTCTTCATGACCCGTCGGCCCGTCACAGACAACTCCATAAGCATTTTATACCAAATGCATCTCTATACTTAATCATATTTATACACCTGTCAACCAAACAAAACTCAGTGAAATTCTCTCTGTAAGCTTTAAGCTATATGTTTTTCCCTGTTTTAACATCATGCCATTCCTTTCAGTGATTCTCTTTTTTTGCGAGTAATGGATAACAGCAAGAAACAGTGAAAACAATGAACTGTTATATTTCAATATATTAACAGCCTACATGCAACAAAATGACTGATGCTCAAGCCCCTAAAGGACCCTGTTTAGGGCCAATGTCTCTACCAGCAGTGTCTTGGTTTGAATTTTTACTGGACCATGAACTACTTAACAAGCATCTTCAGCAAGAAAATCCAGGTAAAGTTTGTTATTTGAAGTAAGTTATAATGATATTATTGCCACCATACTTTTAATTTAAAGTTCAAGCATCTAGCCTACTCTTAAATATAAAATTCTAGCTGTATTTCATTTATATCAAATGCCTGTCACTTACCTATCCCCTTGATGAATGGAGTCTACCCACCTATGGACTTTGTTATATCTTGTCATCTTTTCAGATCCAAGCCCAATTCAGTTGATTGTACAGTTTTTACAGCAAGCAGATTTTGAAATGGCAAACATTGTACAAAATAAAGAGCTAAACCCACCTACCCCAGGACATTCAGGTATAGTTATTTGAATTTTCATATAAACTATGTACCGCTTCTCATATGAGATACTGGATTTTAATATATTCTGGTTTGTTGAAACAACTTAAATAAAACAAAGCACGATATCTGAATTCGTGCTGAACTTATACATAAGATTAATGCTTTATATTTACAATGAAATAAACAGATTATGTAATTGTTTCGTTCCAGATTCTAATTTGTCTGTTCCTGACAGAAAATCTCCAGATTCAGGTAGAGTCTCTTAAGAATTATATCCTTAGTAAAAATGCCATTTTTGTCAATATTTAAAACCACTCAAAACATACTCAAATGTAATGTGTTAATGGATGGCTTCTTCATTCTAAAATTTGATTTACTTGACATCCGAAATAGAAGTTGATTATGATTTCAGAATGTTCTGTTGAAGAATCCAGAAAGGTAAAGGGATTGAAGGTGTTGGCTCTAAAAGTTGCTGCTTATTTGAAATGGAATTTAACATTATTAGATACAAGGTATGTTTCCTTGTGTACTCCTTTAAATTCAGTTTAAAAATGTTTATCATACATTTATCCAAAAGAGTAAAGCACGCAGTAGATATAGTACTTGAAGATTTGAAGCAGAGAAAAAGTAAAGACACATTGTTTGAGTTGATCTCTTAAGTTATAAGTGGTCTAGTTTTGTTATTCTGTCCAAGTTCTGGTTCTGATCAATGTCTTACATCTTTTAGGTATCTAATATATTTCTTTTCAGGAATTCTATACCACTACCTATTATGAGTACATTGTTAAAAGAATTATTAAGTTTATGTATAGAGGGAGGTGTAGTGGCTGCTATGAATAATGATATAGATATAAATAGTTTATCAGATCAAGCTAAATTTGCTGTTCAACTTTATCATAGATGGTAGGTATAGCTTATCTTGTGTTTGATGAAATTTACAGTAAATTTGTGAAAAATATGCCAAATATGTTTTGTTTCCTTTTGATGTTGTTAATGATTTTGATGTTGTATTTTAGATTTGATTAGGATTTTTTGCTGAGTAATTTTGCTGACTATTCTGTGTTATTGTTTAAACTTTAAACAAAACAATAGAGGTACTGCTTATAAAATATTCATGTGTTCATATTTACAAGATTCCTTGATAAGACAAAATTTTCCTCACCTATCCTGATTTATGGGTGATTTATTTTTCAGGGTTGTTCGAAGTGTGATATATGACAGCTTTCCATCTAGACCACTTAAACTTAGCTTTACTGTACCGTAAGTACCTATATCAAACTATACAACACAACCAGTATAATTTCTTAGTACAGTTGATTGAAATCCAGACAATTTTATAAAATGCTATTTTGAAGGAGGGAAAAAGTTGTTTTAGTAATCTTTTTGAGTTACTCAATGAATTTCTTTCTCTTTTGTAGACCCGGGCAGATTGACCCAGTAGCTGCTACTCTAGCAGCAAATGAGGCTGTTATAAAAAAGGTAACTGATAATAACAAAGTGTGTTGGCTTTGTCTTGCTTCAACTGATTAATTAGTCCAGACCTAATGATTTTTTTTTGGATCCAAAAGATTTGTCCAAGAGTCTTAGCACAGTAGAACATACTTGTCTTTAACATCACAAATCACATACATCTTTTCAGTGTGTTCGCTTACTTTAATAGTCTTGATATTGGGCTTTCATTATTATTTCTACACCTAGCTATTCCTAGGGGAATTTAATATTTGAAATGCCTTTGGATGAAATGAAAATGAAAATGGACAATACATGTGAAGCTTAGATGATCCAAAACATTTGTATTTATAATTTGATATACCTTTGAAGATAAGATAACCCTTTGAAAGTTAAAATTTAATTTCCAAGAGTTTACCTAATACTTAAAATCAATTCTAGATATCTATTTTTTGTAGTTAAAAGATGAGATGCAGACGTCAGTTACAATTTTAAAGAAATATTTAGAATCTCCTGTAAAATTAAACATGCCATGTGCTGATGTGTTTATTATACCTAATGAAAACACTGATGTATTGTGTGATTGGTCTAAATGTGCTCAAATATCAAGTGAAGAAGTCAAATGTCAGGTAATTATATTTAAATTGGGTTGAGATTTTAAAAAGTTATAATCTCACCTGGATCACTTTTCATTATTAAATGTTACTTCTGGTAATGCAATTTTGTGGATAGTGGAATTGCAAAAAGGGGTGTGTATGCATGCTGATACTATCATATCAAAGAATTGAATATCATTATGAATGTTTATCTTATAATTTCATTCCAGTTATCATTTGATTGTGGTGTGGTTTATTTTCATCAGTCGTTATATAAAGAAGCATTTGAATTGTTTAAACAAGCTAAATCATTCCAATCAACTGTAAGTACTTGTACTTGAAAAGTGAATTGGATTTCAGGGAAGAGATG